TCCTGTAGAGAATAAACTATTCCTTTCATCAGGCGTCTAACTTCTTATCCCACAAGAGACCGGGCATGAAGATCACACAGGGTAGGGTTTTACATATTAAGCCAACCCACAGCGACAAACCTACGGAAGATCGGTAATTACTGTAAAAAGGCTGTCCGTGTTTGACACTATACACTGATAATTGTGATTCCTGCACTTTGTGTTCTCAATGCCAGCTACCACCATGGGCGGCGCCAAGTCTGAGTGTGTTGGATGTTATCAAAAGCGCAAGCTTTTTATCCATTTAAGGTTTTATTAAGGTCAGAAAGAAACTTAGAAGCAGTGTGCATGTCATTTGCAAGAAGGAATCTGACTAGAAGTTAGAGGGCAGTTATATGGTCTGTATGTGGGTTTGTGAAACATCTACATGTCCTCGGTACTGATCTACGAGCGGAGGAATGTGTTTCTGACCTGTTGTCGGGCCACGGCTTACTTCGGCTGTGGATGATGCAGCGTAGTAGTTGGCCACATCGGCCTGGTCGGGCTAGACATCATTCACGAGTTGGAAAGAGTGGATCGACGGAGCTGGTTCATTTGCCAACTTCTTTTTCCTATTCTTTACATGACGGTCAATAATGGCTACGGTGTACATATTTGAGATGATTGACGTGACACATCGAAGACGATCTCTAAAATGTGGAAACAGGGAACAGGTTAACTGCGCAGACCGCGTATTGATAACGAGGTAATGGAAGAAATATATGGCAAAAGTAACAGATTTCATTTTTCTTCAATGTCTGCTCCCGTTATTGGCGCCCGAATGGCTTTTTGTAGTAAGCTTAGTGGTTGAGGATTTCGTCTGAAGTCTACTGTGGAACGGATCAAAAGTGGGTTTTCTAAAAGCGGAAGCTACGAACATTTTAGTTGAAGTAAGTGACTACTTCTTCAGACGATTGAAACATTCTAATAGTATGATAAATTCAAAAATTGTGATATGCGCAGCCTATATCTACACAGACCTTCACATGTGCATTTGCTTTGCTCCATCATTAAAGCTCGCGGGCAAGGAAAGTGG